CCCAGGACCTCATGCACGATGGGCAAGTACTCTGCCACTGAGCTGCATCTCTCGTGTTTCACCTTTTAAAACTGTTTCTGGTTTTGCTAATATTATGCAATAAGGTAGCCACAGCTGGTTGCGTTTGCGTAAGAGTGAATCTTTGACGAAATCCTGCATTGGGCAAGATCTACATTTTGTTAAGAAAAAAATTCATTCTTGGAAGCTGAGGCAGAAGGATCACAAGTTTGAGCCCAGCCCATACAAATTAGCAATACTGTGTCTCAAGTAAATAAATAAATAGGCTAGGGGTGTAACTCATTGTGAAGGCTGTGGGTTCTGTTCTCAATACCACATGCACACAAAGACAAAAGAAAATCAAGAGTATTGTGCATTGATATCGCCATTGTTGCATTTCATGGGCGCCAAGTCACCTGGTTTGTGAATGCCTTAGAAGCTGATGTTTTTTCTTTATTGAAGCAGTACCTGTTATAGGCACAGTGGCACCCTCTTATAATCCTAGCTACTAATGTGGCGGCTAGATTCTAAGTTCAAGTCCAGCCTTGGCAGCTTAATGAACTCCTGTCTCAGAATTAAGAATAAAGTCTAAGAGTGTAGTTTAGAATCCTTACTTAGGTTTGATCCTTGGTACAGTAAGTCCCCTATTTAGGAATATTCAAGTTGCAAACTTTCAGACAGGAAGGGACCTCCTGTTAGGAATATTCTTAGATGTGAACCAGGTGCGGAAGTGCTCACAGGTCTATCTTACCATTTTAAGGAAACTAAAAGTAGCACTAGTTAATTCACAGTATTTGTATGTGTGCTTGGTGTCTTTAGGGCTTGCATTATTTGTGTCAAAGGTGTATGAGACTCACTTTGTCATGGTCATTCTTCTATAATGCAACCGTTTCATAAATCAGATACTTATAGTATAGGGTAAAAAGATACACCTACACACCAGTGCATCTGTGAGCTGACTGTGAGAGGACAGTTTTTAAGAAGGTAGAAAGAATGTGAGCAGGTGTTGGGCCCCCTTGTCGCCCTGCTGAGGGGGCCTTGAGGCTGGCTGACAGTACAGGGGCATCATTGTGTGAGCAAGCGTGCCCTTCCCCTCTGGGCTTTGACTGCAGTCCCTAGTGGGGTGGGGATGCACCTGCTCACTTCAATCTGTGGCATCATGTTTCCCGCAAACCATTAACATTTGTTTAAAAATTTGAAAATGTATAACTTGACTGGATTATAGAACATGGCTTCATTCTGCAGTTACAGAACTTTCATTCAGAAAAATAGTTTTATAAATTTGAATGTACCGGTTTTCAAGTATGCTGGATTGTGATGGCTTCCTAAGGGACCAAAATTCTCCCTTATGTGTGTTGTTTTTTATGGTCTTAATTAGTAAAATCAAGACAGAGTAGCACTTTAAAAATGCAGCCCTCGTTAAAAAAAAAAAAAAATGCAGCCCTAGTAAATAACATCATCATTATTTTATGTCAAGTCCAAGTCCAGCCTTTCCTCCACCAGCTCTGCTGGTTTTCTTTCAGTGCTTTAGCGACTGCTCTGCCTGCTGGCTTGATCCTTTTACACGTGCTGAGTGTCCTCCAGTAACCCCAAGCACCTGAGCTGTTGGGCAGTATTCCTATGGGTAGCTCACGTCAGCAGAAGGTCTAGTCAGGATTTGCGGAGGGTTTCTCCTCCAACGTTTTATTTAAAAAGTATTTATTTCCTAGCAAACACCCACAGACCCTTCACCTCGTTTTTCCAGCTGGGATAGCTCACTACATTTGTTTTCTTTCTCCCTCTTTCTTTTTCTCTCTGCCCTGTGCTTCCAGCCTCTATCCTTTTCTCTCCATGTTTATAGGGGGAAGCACTGGAAAGCAAATTGGAGGCAGCGCTGCCTGTTGCTACTCATAAATATGTTGGTGAACTATTTAGGTGAAATTTCTGAAGCGTAAGAACATTCCCCAACCTCCCCTTAATGGCATTGTTTTGCTTGAGGGAACAAACATTACAACCTTTAGTTTCATATGATTCCCTTTGGAATTACTCAAGGGACATACCCTGCCCTCATCTTTACATTAGATCAGGAATCTGATCATGGTTCACGAATTACATTTGGCTTTTATGGCTCTTTCCCCCTAGCACAGTCCTTTCGCCCCACCTCCCCTTTCATTGAAGCACCCAAGCTGTTGTCTTACAGAATGTCTCCTGTATGGAATTGAGTTTTCCTAAACACTGTTCATTGTTCCTAAAAGCCAGGCTATTTTCTGAACAAGTTAATGACATATGTATGTATTCATGTGCTTGTCTCCTAGAGTATGGTCTCCGGCTGGGCAGTCAGATCTTCATCAAGGAAATGACCAAAACAGGTCTGGCATCTAAGGATGGCAATCTTCATGAAGGGGACCTGATCCTCAAGGTGGGCAGATGAGGCCAGGGCACAGCCGAGTGCCCTCACGCATTCCTTACCCGCATTTCTGCATTCAAGTGCCAGCACAGACTGACTTCGTTGCAATGGGAGTTGATATGAGGAGCAGCATAGTGGGGTGATTTTTATCAGGAAATCCAGGCCCAGTGGCGGAGTGCTTGCCTGGCCTGCAGGGGCTGTGGCTTCCGCCCCAGTTGCTCCAGGTCAAGCACACACACCAGACTTGGAGCCTTGTAGTAGTTTATTGAATATGTCAAGGTGCACTTTCCTTCTCCATCTTTGCTTCAAGTTTAGATTCCTGTTCCCTACACTGCTGATGGTGAACCTTTGAGGTTCCACTGTTACACGCAGCTGTGGCATGTGTGCCATAGGTTTTCCACAGCTGCCCTAAGCCAAGGGAGAGGAAAGGGAGAGCTGCTGGTGTGTGAACACTGAATATTTATAAGTTTTGTAAACCTCTTCAGTCAGTACACGTTGCAGTAGTAAGCAAACTGTCATTTTGGGTGGAGTTTAAATAGCAGTGACTTAAGGCCGTGCGGTTCTTTCATGCTTGTGTTTCCGATCCAAGCATACAGAGTTATATCCTTGTCCATCTAAATATCTGAACAGAGGGTTTACATATTTTAGAAGGGCAGATAAGAATTTTGATATCTAGCTTACAAGGAGTGTATATAATCCTACCGTTCATATACACAGATCAATGGGACCGTCACTGAGAACATGTCATTAATCGATGCCGGGAAGTTGATAGAGAAGTCTCGAGGAAAACTCCAGCTTGTTGTGTTCAGAGACAGCAAGCAGACGCTCATCAATATCCCATCGCTCAATGACAGCGACTCAGAATTGGAAGGTAAGGGAAGCCCTGGCCAGAGGACAGGAGAGCCGCCACCTCTGCATTCTCATCTCTCAGGAGCACAGCCATCCAAGCTGGAGGTTGAATTTCCGGGAGCAGCCTTCCTCTTCAACTTTAATTTTGAAAGATAAATTTTCAGTCATCCGCTTAATAAATTATCTGCTGAAATTAGGTTTCTTCCAACATGAAATTCTGATACTGGATACTTGTGAACTCCTAGAAGACTCAGGCCACTGAAAGCAAAACTTGTTAGTAAATACATACGCAGGCTGGGCACAGGGTCACACTCTTCTTGCTCCAGCTGTCCAAGAGGCTGAGGCAGGAGGATCACTCCAGCTGAGAAGTTCAAGGTCAGCCAGGGCAACATAGTGAGATCCTCATCTCAAAAATAAAAGCCTGATGTGGTACACATTCCTATAATCCTAGAATCTAGGAAGGCTGAGGCAGGAGGATTGCAAGTTCAAGGCCTGCCTGGTTGGGTTAATAAGACTCTGTCTCAGAACATGAAGGGCTGAAGGTGTAGCTCAGTGGCAGTGTTCTTCAGCATTCATGCACAAGGCCTTAGGTTCAATATCACTACTACCTCTTTCTTGCATTTACTTTTTTTTTTTTTTTAAGTGGCTATTTGGGTTTTTTTGGGCCAACTCAGCCTACCCTGAGAGCGGGGCTGGCATGACATGTGGTGCTGGGAATCAAACTGCAGTCCCCTGTGCTTGCGTAAGCTTGCCTAAGCAGGTGCTTTAGACTGCTGAGCTATCTTGTCAGCCCGGCTGTTTGGATTTCTAATAAAGACAGTTTTGAGGCTAGTTAAAATAGTCAACATGGCTAGTAGTGTGATCACTGGCTAGTCATCTAGGTTACCTCTCCTCTTTGAAAGCTAAATGCATTAGTCAGCATGTATTATAGGATGACATATTAACCTTGTAAAAATCATCAGTAATTTGATAATGAATAGACATAGTTCCTAAGCTTTCCAACAAAGCTTTGTTGATTGTGTTTTGAACAATTTCTTTCTAAAATCTTAGTTTTCAGTGTCACCAAAGACTGATCAATGGATGGGGAGAAGTGACTGCAGTGTCTCCGGATTTCACAATTTGTGTCCTTTGTCCCCAGCTCCTGGCAGCCTTTGTGCTGTCTGGGAGCTTGAGACAGTTGCAGGATCCTGGCCCTAGCCAGGAGCAGCTGCACCCGAGTAAGCTCCCTGGCGGATTTGAATGTGCAGTACAGTCTGGGAAGCACTAGTCTCTCTTGGTGAGGATGAACACATACACACATGACTTAATACTCCATATCCTTGAGTTCTGCATGCTTGGATTTAGCCAAGCACAGATTAAAAGTGCTCCGGGGAGAAAATTCGAGAATGTTCCAAAAGGCACAACCGTATTTATTGAATTGATGTGAGCAGTGTGTAAGTACAGTCTACCACGGCCTCCTGCCTGCTCACGGGTCTGTCTCTTCTGTACTTGTTGTTCATGGCTTTCTATTTTCTTTATGATTCCCTGAACAACATCATAGAAGAGCTGTGTGTGTAGCATTCATGTCATGTTGGTGGTTACAGGTAACCCCGCTGGGATTCAGCAGTGTGTGTGTGTGTGTGAAGGATGTCGGAGGCTACATGCGGGTGCCGGGCCATCGCACAAAAGAGACCAAGTGTGCAGAGTTTGGCACCACTGCAGACACTGATGAGAGACTTGGTGGAATGGTGACGTTTTAGTAGCAGCTTTGACAGAAAGCAGGATGAGAGAAATAGATGCTTCTGAGTTTGGCTTCCTCTTCTACCTTTCCTGTAAACTAATTGAGTGTTTTTTTTTTTTTTTTCTCCCTTTGTTAGATAAAGATTGTTACACTGGTAGCCTGTTTTTGTCTGCCTGTCTTCCATTTCCCACGTCTCTTACCCAGAAAATAGGACAATTTCTGGTACATGTCTTAAATTTTACCAAAAAGTGTCTCTTCATTTTGAAACCAGATATCTCAGAAATGGACTCAGTCCGGTCATTTTCTCCAGAGGAGAGACGCCAGCAGTATTCTGACTATGATTACCACTCCTCCAATGAGAAGCTGAAGGAGAGGCCGAGGTAAGGCGACGTGTGTTTTCTCTTGGTGTCAACGTGTGTGCGCACACGTGCATCTTGGTGAACTCTGCGCCCCCTGAGACATGACCATGTGTGCGCTTTTAAGCTCGAGAGAGGACGCGCCGCCGGGCAGACTGTCCAGGATGGGGGCCACCCCCACTCCATTCAAGGCCTCGGGGGAAGGTGTAGCTGCTGTGGTCACAGAGACCAAAAAGGAGCCCCGAGCCCAAGAGGAACCCCCAGGTGAGGCTTGACAGCCACCCTCTCTTTCTTGGTGGTTGGCTCTGGAGTTGTGCTAGGGTCTGTGGGGGTGAATCCCGCTCTTTTCTGACTGAGCTGCTGCCAGGCCAGCACCACACATTTTCAGCAGTTGAGTCCAGAGGGCAGCTGAAAGGAGAGGGAGAAATTATAGGAAACAATTCTTATATATAAAGAGGCCCTTTTGTGTCTCTGTCGTTTAATGTTGAAAAATAGAAACACAACAGCCTTTGCTGTATGCCATCAGGTTTTTTTGAAAACAAATTATTTTCCTACAGATTTATAGATTCTTTTTTCCTTATTTAAAGAGAATAAAAAACCAAAAGAACTTCACTAGAAACAATACAGAATTCCACTAAACAAAATAATAGGAATTCAGCAATGGTGGTTGTATTGCAGAATGTTGTCTTCAAATTAGGTGTTTAGGTTACCAGATACAAGCATGCAAAATTGGTCCAAAAAAATAAAAGGAATGCTTCATAAATTTGCATGTTATCCTTGCACAGGGGCCACGCTCATCTTCTCTGTCATTCCAGTTTTGGTATAGTGCTGCCGAAGTGAGCACTGCCATCAGGTGTTACCACGTTTTCTCACATTTAATATGTTCTGGCCCTTTGATCCCTCTCCGTGGGCCCAACCTCACCCTAACTCTGCTCCCGCCCCCCTGCAGTTGTTACAGTTTTCAATACGTAGACATTTCTCTGTGGCCACACGGCATTGTTCTATGGTTTTCAGGTATAAAAAGTGGTATTTGTTTTGCTTTGCATTTTGGAGCTCTGTTTTTCTTTTCACTCCGAGAAACAGTTGGGTCCTGCTCATGCCTCCAAATTAAGCTTCATCTTAAGATTTTTTTTTTATCATGTGACGATACAGATGTAGAATAAGAGACAGACATAGCAGTGTTTGTAGATTCTGCTGTATATTTAGAAATAAATGTTGTTTAGAAATAAATGCTGTGCTAGAGTGATAAGGATAGGGTTGTGTGTTTCATTGCAGTGTTGGGGATCAAAGCTAGGACCTCACGTGTACTAGGCAGGTGCTGTACCCCTGCGCTGTAACCTCAGCCCATAATGGATGTTTTAATCCACAGCTCCTGTACCCAGAGCAACCCCAAGAACTTTCCTCCGTCCTAGTCCTGAAGATGAAGCAATATATGGGTATGTGTTTCTGTCTTCCTTTTTTTCTTACCTCGTCCATACAGCCAGTCTCATAACTGAAATCCAGAATACTGCGGTCTCCCCCTCAGGGGACAGTTTTTCATGTTATTAGCTACCTTGAACCAACGCCTGTCGCTTATGTTCATAGGAAAGAGGAGAAGCAGCATGTGGAAGCGGGTGGGCTTTGTTAGGTAATGTGTACTGTTCGCCTCTCTGGCTGCTTCTCCAGACTGTTATTTGGATTATTCGCGTTGGCCAGATACACAGCCTGCAAGAAGGACAAGTGTTTCCAGGCTCCAGTGCTTGTGTGGCGACTGCAGTGCCTGTGGCCCCAGTGTGGAGAAAGCATGGAGGAGGAGAGCCGTGGAGCTCTGTGCTTGACTGGGAGCCCTCCGGCCCTAGCACTAGGAGCAGCAGCAGGACGAGGACCGACCTCCTCGGAGCTGGCCTGTGTTTTCATTATGTGTTGTGGATGCTGCTAGCAGGCTTTCCTTTGAAAGAATCATGCGCTGAGGTCTACCAACTTAGAGTAGGGTTAGAGCTAAAATTATTTGAGGTTGCATCTTAAATAAGCTGATGAAAATATGTTATGTGTCTGCTCTTATACCAGTAATGTGGGCGGCTCACATTCATCTGACCGTCTCAAGATGCAGTTATAAATGCAAAACTATGAGCGAGTGCTTTGTCAGGTGTAGCTCACTTGGTCCATACAGGAAAATAAATCTCTCAGCTGCTGATGTGGGGCCCCTGCATATGGTGGTGCATGCCTGAAGTTCCAGCCTCTCAAGAAGCTCAGGCAGAAGCAGCCCAAGGTTGAGGACAGCCCGGGTAGCACTCAGTAGGAAAGTGCTTGCCCCGCATGTGCAAGCCCTGGTTCGGTCCCAGGCACTGCAAAAAATAAAGAGGGGAAGCAGGGAAAGGGACACAAAAAGAATTAAGGCTGCACACATGGCCCTCCTCCCATGGTGCACTGCACACATGAGCTAAGAAAAATTGGAAAAAAATAAAACAAAAACTCAAACAATTAAGAATCTCCCTCCTCTTTTCTGCTTAAAACCACAACTGCTGCAGCCCTGACACCAAGATGGTAAAGTTCAAGAAAGGAGACAGCGTGGGCCTGCGACTGGCCGGTGGCAATGACGTTGGGCTGTTTGTTGCTGGCATTCAAGAGGGCACCGCGGCGGAGCAGGCGGGCCTGCAGGAAGGAGACCAGATCCTGAAGGTAAAGCGTGCCCGACCGGGCTGTGAGGGCCAATTTGTGGGTGCTCCTTCCCAGGGAAAGCAGACCAACAGAAGACTTGGTGACGTCTTCCACTCAGGGCTCGGTATTCCTGGCAGTCCTGTCTTCAGCCATGAGTATTCCCCCTCTAGGGGGATTTAACCCCCATGTCAGTGAGGATTTAATAATGTTTAAAACCTTTGCTCAGATTTTTATTACAGTGAGACCTTGGTACTCAGCTAGTATACTTCAGAATTCCTTAAAATTTGGTGGTACAAACATTTTGGCACAAAAGTGTTGGGCCAGTGTTTGTTATTTGTTTGATATTCTACATGCAAACTAGGACTTGTCAGAGTAGCTTGCCTGGTGATTTTCTAAGTCACTTCCTGGCCAAAATAGCTTGGGACTGCTTGGTTTGGGTACTCGTTGCACGTGTAGAACCAGCCTACTGAGGTACTGCTGTAGTTTGATTGACCAAAAAAGGAAGAAGAAAGAAAATTGAGACTTACCTTGTGAGAAACAAATTTCAAAAAGATCTTGTGGAGTTTTGGGTTTTCAGTGTGTCTAGTGTTGCCCCTGCCAGGTGTCACCCTTCAAGGCAGTGACCTGTACCTGAGCAGATGTGGGTGTGGCATCAGACCTTGATCTGACTGATACCCCAGAATCCCCGGGGCTTTGTGCTCCTGGTCCTTGAGGGAGGTCCCACTAGCGGCCACCCATATAAAATTCTCTAGCAACAGAAATTCCTGGCTAATCAGATAATGGTACATTTCAAGTTGCTCTACATTTGTGTAACTTATTGGTATTGAAAAACTTATAGATTGGTAATTTTAGCATTTTATGAGCTACAAATACATATTTAAAATAGACATTAGAATAAATTTTAAGAACACTAAGTACCCGATTACTGCAAGACGTGAATGCTGGGAAATGGTCACTGGACTTCTGTTTGCTTCTGGTTTCTTTGTACCCTTGCTGATATTTGTGGAAAGATGGTATGTAGAGGTCCTGAGGAAGAGAAAATGTCATGGAATCCATGCGGAAGCAGACTGCCGCGTAGAGAGGCAGGTGGCCCTTCCTTCTCAGCTCTTGGCTGCATCCTGCTAGTTCGTATTTCATTTCTGGAGCAGAGGAAGGGCAGACCTTGTCAGGAGCTTTGCTGAAGCTTTCCAGTGAAATTCTAGCTGCCCCTTGGCTGCGCTGGGGATCCTGTAAGACTGTGCCCGAGTGAACCTCGCAGCAGCACATGATACTCGGAAACAGGCCCCACCGAGCGCTACTGATAAAAATCCCGTCCGAATGCCAGCTCGTACCAGCTTACTCTTGGTAACTATGCCACTAAAGAAAGCTATTTCATAGGTAGTGTAAAGCCAGAGGACATCAGCCAGAGATTTGGAGGTGTTGCTCACTTAAGATACAAGGGTAAAATATATGTCATTAAGGGGGTGTGAGCTCTTAAAATTTCCGTGATAAAAAGGAGAGAATCCTCCTAGGCACCTGACCGACCTGTCGAGGTTATTAAAGACAGGGCGAGTTGCTTCAGTGGTGAAAGGTCATAGCAGTCCACACTACACTTGAGAAAAGGGTAGATATCAGTGGCAACAAGGAAGAAGCTGTGCAGACTGGCTGCTCCTGCAGTAATCCTATATGGTGGCTGGGCAGTAGGCAGTGCGCGTTCACAGGGAGGAATAAATTTTCTGCTCCCTGCACAAGGTGCCCTCAGTTTTGTTAAGTACCGGAGGAGACTGACTTAGCCTGCCAGGACAGGAAAGCTGCTGCATTCTTAGAAGCTGTAGCTCACAAAGAGTCCTCCACAGGCTGTGGCAGCCGCCCTGCAGACTACCAAATACCTAACAAAAGAGTATCTATCACAGAGAACTGAGCAGGGTAACTTTCAGGTGCAAAAGCACCACCCTGGCTTTTTCCACCTGCTTTTGTTTCAGCGCTGCTTATTGTGGCCAACCTGAATGTCTGAGGCGAAGTCTTGGCAGGCTCAGTGCTGTTCTCCATTGTGTGTTTCTGTGTGTCTTACTTTGTACTCGTTGCTGGGACAAATATCCGACACTCATAATGAAGGAAGGAAAGGTTTATTTAGCTCACAGTTACTGGAGGGTTCAGTCCATATTCCACTGTCTCCGAGGCTAACGACAGCAGTTCATGCGGCAGAAAACAGTGAAGAGCAGAGGAGGAGCAGCAGCTGCGGCGTCCATCAAGCCCCTCTTTCTTCTACAATGATGGCCAAGACCAGCGCTCCACAGTGAAGATCGGAGCTCCTCCAAAGTGGTGCGGCTGCAAAGATCAAGCTCCTCTGAAGACTGGGACTTGTCCCTGCAAATTGGGGCAGGG